TGTCGCTTGCACTTGCGTCCAAATCTGCAGATAGTACTGTTCGGATCCTCATCGATCGCACGCCCTGTTGGATGTGTGTCTGTGCACTGCGAGTTCTTGCAGGCTCTGCCATACTTGCACTGGATTCCGCTCGTGCCCTCCCAAGGAAACTGCTTTCCCGTTGTATTTGCAGGCACGGAGTCTTTGGGTGCTGCAGGGCTGGGGGATGTCGCTGCACTTGGTGGCGCCACCATGGGCAGGAGGCCCGGGTGCGGAATGAGCAGCATACCCGGAGGCGGTACTCCAGGAGGTCCCGGTAGGCAGCCACCTCCAGGAGGCGGCGGAGGAGGTTTGAGAAGTCCTGGCATGGGAGGAGGCGGTTTCACCATCCCAGGAGCTCCCAGAGCAGGCGGAGGAGGTGGCGGTGGCAACCCCGGCATCATGCCAGGGAGCCCTCCAGCGAGCCCTGTACCGTTTGGCAGAGCCATCCCTGTCTTCGCATACTCGGGAGGGAATACCATGCCTCTACATGAGCGCTGGCGGGGCTTGTCTCGAGCCCATGGTTGCTCCAACAACACGTGCAGCAGACAACTGAATGGACTGCCCACGCCTCCTAGGCCTAGACACAAGGAAAACACACGAGGCTCAAGCTTCGAGAAGCTCCTCTGCTCGCTTTAAGGCATTCTCAGGCTTGACGAAACTCGTCATGCTGAGTCCACCTGGCTCTGGGCAGACTCTTGAGCAGGTGGGAGCGGCTCGGAGGGCCTCCAAATCAAAATTGAACTCTGCGTCGGCTGTCGGCAGCCCGGGCCTGGGTTCAAGACTCACAAGACTCAAAAGTCTTTCTGCATGTAGAAGTTCTTTTCTGAGCATTCGACGATGGGGCAGGCAATCTGGTAGATGTATACTGCTAAACTCTCTTGTCCACGAGCTGCAGTGCTGCGGTTAGTGCACGGGCTGAGCAGCAACAGAAAAACCATGAGCATCTCGAGCAAGCTGCTTAGAACCCGCAATAGCCTGCATGCAGGTCTGCGGCAGCATGATGCCACAACTCACAACCGGCACATGTGGCGGTCCTTTTGTTTTCATACTATTCGAGAACACTGCTGCGCAATCTGGTGAAACATAGAGACTCTTGATACTATTTCTAGAAAGAGTCTACACTCTACAGCCGAAGTCCGTGCGAGTTCCTGCAACTCAGGAAATCCTGGCAACTGGATCTCAACTGGTTCAAAATCGCCACATGCGACCTGAAGTGCAAAATTAAAAGCAAAACGTGCAAACAATTCAATACCGGCTGGGCGTGGTCAGTGCTTTCCGGTACATCTTTACGGCATCCGCAATGACGCGGTCCCACGCAAACTCGGCTTCTGCATGAGCTCGTGTGGGCGCCTTTAACCGGTCCAAATCAGCAATACACTCTAGCACGGCCCTCTTTGCATCTTCCATGTTCAAGGGCTCGTACAGTTTTCCCCGTACTCCATCGCCCACCACTATGGAAATCACCGGCAATCGCGGTGCCACAACCTAGGCAATCCGCAGTCAATCATCGGGTTTGATGTTTCCAGTTCTTCTAGCCTACAAATGTGTGTTTCAGAAGCTGGGGCCAACACCGCAAGGCCAGCAGCCTGCGCTTCTAGCAGAACCAAATCGCAACCGCCCGTCACGGTGGGATTGAAAAGCATGTCTGCGGAAGCATAGACTTTGGCGAGTTCTTCCTTGCCCAGCCGACCTGTGAAAACAACGTTGTCGAAGCCCTCCAACTGACTCCGAACGTCGTTGTCGGCCGGGCCACTGCCGACGATCACCCATCGACATTTGTTCTCTAAGCCTGCCTCCGTGAACTTTTTGATCAAATCAGGAAGCAACTTGATGTTCTTTTCGTACGCCATGCGGCCGACAAATGCGACCACCGGCAAATCAGGCCGTCCACCACTGATCCATTCCCGTGTTGATTGCGACCGTGCTTCCGGTGTAAAGATGTTCACATCGCAACCTGATTTCCAGAAGAACTTGCAACCGTCGTCCACGTTCTGCAACCAAGGTGTCTCATTCCTCATGGCGTCATCTACCATCATGTGGGTACTGCACAAGTTGCACATGAGGGTCCCAAAGGCTCGCAGCACTGATATTCCAATCAGGGGTCCAGGCTGAGGTAAGAACTGCACGTAGTGGTCGATACGGGTGTGATGAGACCAAACATAGGGTATGTCCAAGAGCCATAGCACAAAGCTTGTGAGCAGCGCTATGGGACATGTGTCGAACAAGTGGACCAAATGTGGACGGAAGGTCAATGCTCGAAAAAGAGCAGGGCTTGGCAGCGTCAGCGAGTGACCTGCAACAACACAAAGACACACACACACACACGCACTCTCACTCTCATGCTAACACAAAGGAATTATCAATTGACATCCAAACCCAACCCGAAATATCCGAAATCATGCTCCTGCGACCAGTACCGAATGTGTTTCGGGGTGCCCACACGTGCACCCGTCGCAGAATGTTTCGGACACATGGGATGTGCACATTGCCAAGCAGGAAGCATGGAAGGAAGCTGAAACAAACAATCCAGATGCACGCCAGGAGGAGGCAAAGCGGCGAAACCCCCGCCACACATATCTGCACTCGAATGTTTTTCCGGCATGAATTGCCTGCATGAACCAGTCGAGACACCTATCTGATGCTACCCCGTTCAATCTCTCGACTGAGGATGGTGCCTGGATAATTCCCACCCATGCCAGCTCCACGCGTGACGTCTACACCAAACAGCTTGTCTGGGCCAGCCACCGACGTGAAAACGTGGACCTGCGAAACAATGCAAGGCGAAGTTCTGCACCAAACAACACTATCGTGTGTTAGGCATCACTCGACATGACCATCCCACACTGACATTGATGCTGCTGATGGCGATGCCCAGCCTCGTGCCCCATATGCGTCAACTGCTGAATCGTATTGGTGGTGAATGTCTGAACTCCATCCATGTACGGGTAGAAGCTGTCTCCGAGACACAAAACACGAAGAGGATCACCAGGGGCAGGTTTTGGGGACTTGAAGTTTTCGCTAAGCTTCGCCAAACCGAACTTCATCAAGAGCAGAATGGCCACACAGCATGAGAAACGCCAAACATTGCACAACGAAATTGCACAAAACAGGATGGGAGCCACCGTCCACTTCAAGAACGAGGCAATCGGGCTGGAAGCAGCAAGCTCAGCTGCAGTTTTGCATGCGAGAACAGCCACCACGGCGCCCAACAAGCAAGGCTGCGTCACTTCACCAAAGTACACAAAAGCGACCGACAAGATTGCTGGCAAGGTGTAGAACACGGTCACGACGCTGGCAGAGAATACGAGAATCAAAGGAGACAACGTCTCCTTGAAATGACCTGCTGCCGACATTGCTTCCACAATGGCCATCTCGAAGAACACTGTGATGCAGTGCAACAAACCGATCAGGCAAAGGCCCGGCATTGTGATCAAAATGTCTCCGAGCTGGAAAGGATGCCATGGCACGTGCAAAGCCATCGGAGCGATCCGACTGCTTCTGTGCCGGTATGGGAAGCTACTCACAAAACCGGGCAAACGAGCCAGAAGAATCATCGGATGCCATGTCGTTATGCGAACGAGGTCTCACAACAAAAGCGATAGCAGCACAGAAAAGTGCGGCAGCCAGCTAAGAAAAACAAGCGTGTGCAGCTGCGTGCACATGGCAAGTTTTGAAATATTCCTACGTCCGCGACGATACGCCACTGGGCTGCCTGAAGCCAGCTCTGCATGCTCAAGCTGAACAATGCCCAAGCCAAGATCTGTGCTGCACTCAGATATAAAGCATGGGGCGACTAAGATGTCCTGAAGGTCCTGAATCAACACGCATCTCAACACCGTCCGAGCGCATCGTTTTCCGTGGTTGAAACTTGAAACCTGTTCGTGCTAGCCCCGCACATCCTTCCGTACCGTGGACGAGCTGTTGCCCGCCTGGCCTCGGACAAGCTCGACCCCCGGCTCTCGCTTTGCCAAGCCAAATCCGTGACGCCGGACCGCCGAGCAGGACGCAGGAGCCACCACCAAGACTGCCCGTGCTGCTACGCTGCTGATCGTCGGTGAACATTCTGCGGCCGGACGTGCGTTAGTTGCAAAACCATTCGCGCCATCTCACGCCTGGCGATGCGTGAGGAATTCTTCACAACCCTGCCCGCCCACCCGCCCCAGCTCTACATGCTTATGCCAGCACAAATCCCCAAATGTTGCATTTTTGTTGTTTTCCCGCGCGCTTGTCCGTCGCACGTGCTTCATGCACGTAGGGGCAACCTGGACGGTTGGTCGGCTCGTCTCCGGTAGGCTGCGCGGGGCGCGCCAAACGCCGCCAAGGAGTGCCGAGCCAAGGCGCGCTGCAACACGCAGCCCAGCTGCTCCCAGCAACGGCCATCCCACCCAACGCGGGCACCAGCTCGCAACACCCGCGGTGCACGCAGATAGCATTGTCGCACGAGGCGATTTTGGGCAACTAACAAATGCGAGTTGCCGCCACACCTTCTCGACGGCATTACCCTGCGCAAATCACAACGGTTTTGCACTTTCCTGCGTCTGCCGCTCCGGCTGTCATAGAATCGATGCACGCCGGCCGCTTGCACGGTTGCCCATGGCAAACCGGTGGAGCCAGGCTCTTGTCCGAAACCACGGGCACAGCCGATGCTGCGAAGCATCCAGCTGGCAGGACTGTTGCTGCTGAAGAGCCAGCCAACATTGGCGACCTGCAGCGTCACGACGGCGACCCAGTATGACACCTTTTTTTTTTTCGACGGACCTTTT